CAAAACAAAATCCCATAGCAACCAGGCCATTTATTTGCTGTTTTGTCGTTGAATATATCTTTCCATGGGTTTTCAGGGGTGCTGGAGACGAAAATCTTAATAAAAATTGAACCGACTATTTCCACAATTTATTTGCTATTTTGTCGTTTAATATGTTTTTTATTTAGGATTTCAAGGGGGCTGACGACGAAAATCGTAAATGCACTCCTTTCGTAACGAAACATCCACAACACATACGGCATAATATTCACATGATAGTGTTATACTGAAGAACAAGCTATACATTAGTAGTCTGTTGTGTATATTATAACTTTGGTGAGATTAACTCATCAATTAATTAGCACCTTAGTGCCAGCTAGTGGTCAGTTGATTAAGATTGTTGATTGGATAATCATCAAAGAAGCCGCCACAGCTGTACACGTGTTCATTTAACACGTGAATTAAAATAAGATTTTGCATGTAGGATAGGTCTATTATTATTTTCAGGTACCATGACGTTATCAAAATATGAGTCCCTATTTAAATATCAATTTCATAGTCAAGAAATGCTTACGTTCACTTTCGTGCATTTTGGCTTTGATGTAAATATCAACATTATTCAGAGGATACTCAATGGCAGACTCGAGAATAGTCGCATTTCGGCTCATTGGTCGTTCTCATTTTTTCGACCCATGGTGATAAGAGAATTTTAAACAATAATATCCAAGATGCATTCCTTACTTTGCATGCCGTATGAAGAAGCGACAGTAAATGGAATTAAGCTATCAATAAAATTCTCTTCGAAAAGAAAACTATTGGCCATTTTGTTTATTTCCATTTAAGGCCTATAGATTTTTTTTTAAAGATGATATGAGATATCAAATAATCACCACTTGGATTAATTATTCAGAGTAAATAATGAGTTGTCAACGGCTTTATTATTGATCCATGACAGTTGATAAGTAATAGTATTACTCTATGACACACACCCGCTTGTCGATTAATTTACATAATCAGCCACATTGTTTCGATTAACACTCAACGGCAATCTATAAACGATCAGAATTAATTTTTTTTCTGCCACATATCAGAGTGAATCGCATGTAGTTAGCCAAAAACATTATCGCCAAAACCAAATATTTATCGATAATGCCTTGCAAGCGGTGTCTGGGCCAATCAGCAAACGAGTTGTGTAGACAGCATGGCAACAGGCGGAGTTTATTTATATTTTTTAGGGTTTTTAAAACTCGATTTTATCTGTTCAAAATCAATTCATTGACAATATTTTGATCATATTTGTAAACTAGAGATGCTCCGCTTTACAACAATGCCAATTATTATGCAAGAGGAATGACCGAGAATTTTAAAAAATAGGACAGATTTAAGAATAGGGTACTCTTACAAAACGTTCAAATACAGGTATTTTAAAATGTTTTATTGCTATTTTGATCTTTTGTGTCGATAGATAGAATTTATAGACTCATTTTTGTGAAAATCTCAATTTTGATCAAAATCAGTATTTTCACTTATTTTGTCTTTATCTCATTATTGATTCGTGCGCATTTCGACTCATTTAGCTGTGGCCAGTCACAAATAATGCACCGCGATAATAGCGCCCCTTGTTTTTTCCTAATTTCTTACTTTCAATTTGCATTTTGGCTTGTGTACCGTCCTATCGACTTAGTCATATTTTTGTATTTATTGATGTCATTAAGAAGGCGCCAACACGTATACAAAGCCATAATGCAACTCGAAAAGTAGAAATTAGGAAATAAACACACGCGCTATTAGTGACCTATCATTTTGGCTTGCTGTTTTGCTGGCGACTTTTCGATTTTCGCCTCGGAAGTGGTTGTAGTCTCAATTTGCCAGGTCGCATTTGAATACATGCAATCCACGTAAACAAATTAGTCTGTATGATAAAGTCTAGGATTGATGGCAATATTTGGCTTGCTGTCATTCTGTCGACTTTTCGCCTCGGAAGTTGATGTAGTCTCTACTTTCAAGGTCACATTAGAATACGCGCATTGATAACTGAATTTCATTTACTGTGACTTCATACAGCATATAAAATATACTGGTTTTCATGATTGTATATTATTATTTTATTTCAAATTATATTATCACCATGGGTAGGAAACGTAAGAACGAGTCGAATAGCGACGTTTCACAGTTTCAGTACCGCCGCCCAAATTCTCTAAAGTGAACGACGAGTGTGATTGTAAGCATGTCTTACAAATAAAATTGAAATTTTCTATGAGGATTCAGATTCACGCGTTAAACCACTAACCCTCTGAAAAACGGAGTTTATAAGTTGTATATTGTATATACCGGTACAGGATAATTGTTTTATATTTCTTTATATTGGCAGTCAATTCTGCATGTAAAATAACAAACTGATTAGCAGTGAACATTCGCTAGGCTGCTAGTATCACTGAGAGGGACGACAACAGTGAGAGTTAATTAGCTCACAATAACTTTTTCTTTCTGCAAATTAAATTCTAAAACATTTTTTTTAATTATAACAAAAATAAAGAAAGGTGTTGGAAGTATATCTTGATAAAAAATATTTCCTATTTAGTTTAAATGGGTTCATAAAATAGTATGCGAAGGTGTAACTTAAAGATACATTATGGGAGATAAGATAAAGAGATGGCAGTTCTCGCTATAAATAGTTAAAAACTAGATAGTGTAAAGGTAATTTGCTGAAAATTTCAGTCAAATTGATCCACTATGAGCCGAGAAAGAAGAGGGTGAAATTTGTACATAGTCTCGGTCATCATTACTACATTAATTAATATAAACAGCATAGTCTCGATTATCCACTTTTTTTGATTTAATTATCAACGGCCGTTAGCGGCATATAGGAATCTAATCCAGCCAACATCGAAGGCTAGCCTTGACATTGAGAGTTTATTATGGTCTGGATAAGTTAATTAATGTCTAATTGATAATTTAGATAACATTTCAGGCCTAAAGAAAGACTTGTAATAAGCAGATTTTGCTCTTGCATAATGCATGTTTAAGTAAAAGGCACCATTCTGCCCTGACCAGTTTACATTAAGTCTTATGTAAACAATGCATGCGCTATCGAAGCCAATGATCAACGTCTTGTGATGTGATATCACACGTAGACTGCATATGAACTCATAAAGGTCAGTCATATTACACAGAGTTAGAAGAAGACTTTCACATACCTCTGTGAAACAGATCGGTAAAATAACTTGCAATTTTGGTGGTGAAATACATTTCTGATCATAGGTTATTCTTAGCTTTTTGTAAGGCATAGTTAAGTAGGTGATCCTAAACTATAATACAGCTGTAATTAACTGGTTTTTAACTCACATAATTCCAGGACATCCTAACTTTTCTGAAAAGTTGGTTTCCTTAATTTTGTTTTAAGAGAAAACTAAGGTCAAATTGTGATACCACTTTACATTTTGTATCAATCTAGACAGATCAACTAATAAAATTTTTTCTAGCAATGGAGATTCTAGTTGTTGACATTTTGCAATAACTCCCGACCTCCAACCCTTTTTTGCCATGTAGCATGGATGTCATTAGAAGCCGGTAACCGACAAATTTCACCTTTTACATTAGGCCAATTTCCAGCTACTTTTCCTCTAAAAATGATCAGAAACTTCATTTTAATAAAATAATTTTGCGTAATATTAATTGAAACTAATTTAATTCCTAAACGACAAGCACATAGACGTATCAACTAACCATTTTTTACCGTGAGACTCACCTTTCTCACGAACGGACGGATATATCTCACGGTAAATGTTCATAATTATGCCAATGCTAGTTTCACTTTCAAAAAGGGAGGTAACCCCCTTACTTCCGTTGTATTAATCGACCTAATGATTGACTAAATTTGACCGGAAACTTCTTACTCCGGTATTATGCTTGTGCTATGATTATTAGTGGGATAAATGAAGTATACTATAATGGTAGCAGAGTACATGAGTGTACCTAACAAAATAGAGACCTGTACTGACTGTACAAGGTCTGTTCCATTACTGTCATTTTTCCTCATTTTGACAGTTCTCCCGTGAAGAGAAAACGTTTCACGCCATGTCACTTTAGCGTGAAATCGGAAGCCATTGGCATTGAGTGATTGACTGAATTTAGCTGACTTTCAATCTGCAATTTTAGATTACTTTTTCGTTTAAATATATTACTAGCAGTTGTATTATAATGCTTTGATATCGATCTCAATATATGAAAATAATCGGACTCAAAAGTTATAGAAATACAAGCGCTATTACTGTTTATGTGGGAGGCACTTGCAGGAAAATAAAACTCTGACGTCACGTTTCTGGGGATTTCCATTCACACGATTACACTCATAATTAGAAAACGGGATTTATCTGTTTTGCAGACCAAAATTTTCTAATTCCGAATAAATGCAGCCTGCCTTTTATCTGATATCATGAAGATTAAAATTATTTTATATATTATTCAAATTGTTACGATTTTATAAATTTTACCTAAACTAATATTCGCAGATTTCAGTTTTAAAATCGGTAGACGCGCAATTCTATAAGGCTTATCTTGTGACATCACTAAGTTATGACTGAAAAGCACTTATTTGGATTATTAAAGTTTTTTTGGAAAGATTTTTTATGTTCATTTTCACAAAATATTTAAAAAAAAATTTCTGTCATTTAAGATATTGACCCGAAATGCATCTAACGCCATAACACACTCCCCACCATTCGGTTTGCCCACGGATTCGGGCCTGCGGCCCTAAACATTTGCTGCCCCTTACTTAAGCAAAATTTCCTGTTACTTATAAAATTAGTGACATCCCTGCATGTAGGCTCTGTAAAACGATACCTTATTGGCTCTAGGACCCCATCCAACACTGTTGAGAAAAGGTAAATAGTCTTGTATATTCCTTTACATTATGTTTCTTCTCTCAAGTTTATTGACAGACTAAAGTTCTACAATGTTATCAAGAATCCTATCCCTTTGAGGTGAAGAAATAGTAGGAAGTTTGGGGGATGTTCACTTACCTGATTCAGAGATGTCATCCCAATAAGGTGAATCAAATTCAAACTCTGCCTTCAGAATCTGTTGGAACAGCATAGCATCATTTTCATCATAAAATGGTGGATAACCACATAATCTATTGTAGAGGAAAGACAAGAGTGAATCAAAAATATATATCAGTATCCTAGACTGATTGTGATTGGGTGAATCTGAAAAAAGGAGACAGCTCTTTCTCCATTTAAAATCAGCAACAAACATCAGTGTAATATTTGATTCTAACTTGTCCATGGGGAATCATAACAATATTTGTTTGGTTATTATCATCTCAGAAACATTAGCAAAATATGCCATATATTTATTAACTGACACTAAAAATTTACAAATTCTTAATTCTTTGTTATTGAAAATTCCATGTAGAATTTCACCAGTTTGGGACACCGACTGCTAAGGATAACGGTTCTAGAAAACGTGTTTAAAGATACATTATGGGAGACAAGATAAAGAGAAGGCAGTTCTCGCTATAATAGTTAAAAACTAGATAGTGTAAAGGTAATTTCCTGAAAATTTCAGTCAAATTGATCCACTATGAGCCGAGAAAGAAGAGGGTGAAATTTTGGCATAGTCTCGGTCATCATTACTAAAATCATTAATTTAAACAGCATAGTCTCAATTATCCACTTTTCTTGATTTAATTATCAATGGCCGTTAGCGGCATATAGGAATCTAATCCAGCCAACATCGAAGGCTAGCCTTGACATCGAGAGTTTATTACAGTCTGGATAAGTTTATTAATGTCTAATTGATAATTTAGATAACATTTCAGGCCTTAAGACTTGTACTAATCAGATTTTGCTCTTGCATAATGCATGTTTAAGTAAAAGTTAAAAGTTTGTGTTGAGAAGGTAATAAAGTCAGTGGCGGCGCCAAGGGGGGGGGGGGATTGCCCCCCCCATTAATCTGGTCTGCCCTCTGTTAGCCCCCGTCAATAATTTTAGAAAAAAAAACCAGCGGCTGCCAGGCAGGATACGCCCACATTTTCAAGAGATGGATAGAAAACAAGCTAAAACGAAAGTGATTTTTCCTACAATCAAGGGCCATAATTCAGGAAATTACAATTCGATATGCGCAAATATCGAAAGGAACCAAGATCTTTGAGTTATAAACTTACATTTCGAGTTTCAACAAAATCCGATAAAAATTGTGACCTCTATAGGGTCCACAACCTTGATATACCATATTTTTACGCAATTTGAGAACGAGGGGCGGCCATTTGGTCTGTCAGTTTTTGGCCGATTTTCACGAAATTCGAACTTAGTCGTCCTTAGGGTGTAACGGTGATATAATAATATGATTTTTTAAATCGGATAATAATTATGACCTCTATAGGGTCCACAAGCTAAAAACGTGATTTTTCGTACAATCAGGGGCAATAATTCAGGAAGTTACGGTCCGATATGCGCGAATATCAAAAGGAACCGAGATCTTTGGGTTATAAACTTACATTTCAAGTTTTAACAAAATCGGATAAAAATTGTGACCTTTGTAGGGTCCACAACCTTGATATACCATATTTTTACGCTATTTGAGAACGAACGGAGGCCATTTTGTTTGACAGTTTTGGGCCGATTTTCACGAAATTTGAACTCAGCCGTCCTTATGATGTAACGGTGATATATTAACACGTTTTTTTTAAATCTGATAAAAATTATGACCTCTATAGGGTCCACAAGCCCAAAAACGCGTTTTTGCGTACAATCAGGGGCCATAATTCATGAAGTTACAGTCCGATATGCGCGAATATCGAAAGGAACCAAGATCTTTGTGTTATAAACTTACATTTCAAGTTTCAACAAAATCGGATAAAAATTGTGACCTCTATAGAGTCCACAACCTTGATATACCATTTTTCAAAATTTTCTGGGGGAGGACTCCCTACTTTGCCCCCCTATTAATCTGGTCTGCACCATGTTAGCCCCCCCCCCAATAATTTTAGAAAATAACGAGAGCATCGCTATCGCTGCAATATACGTCCACATTCCAGCTTTGATTGATATGGTACTTTTTAAAATGAAGAGAATGAAATATGAAATGGCTGTAATATGATCAGAGGCAAAGAAGGCTAGGCGTTGGGTTTGTTTTGCCAAATTTACAGACAAAATACTAACAAAAAAGTGGGTGTGACACTGCCCCAGGAGGTCGGGGCAAGCATCAAAATAAATAGTTGCTGTCTTTACGGTATAAGGAATAAATATGCAATGTTCCAAGATGATCCATTCAGAATTGCAGGGTTGGCTTTGGAACAATATAAATAGGTACCACCCTGTTATTGAAATGAAAACATCAATAGTGCCGTCCTTAAGGTATAAGGAATAAGTATACCAAGTTCCAAGATAATCTATTCAGAATTGTGGCCTTCTAGCGCTAAAGGCAAAAATTGGGCGTGGCTCTGCCCCTGGGGATCGGGGCATTCACCAAAATCAATAGTTGATACCCTTAGGCTATAAGGCATATGCCAAGTACCAAGTTGATCCATTCAGAATTCCGGCCTGTAAACAATAAACACAAAAATTGGGCGTGGCTCTGCCCCTGGGGGTTGTGACATGCAGTTGTTGTCCTTGGGCTATAAGGAATACATATCCCAAGTTCAAAGACAATCCATTAAGAATCGTGGTCTGTAGGCAACTCACAGAGACACAAAGAAAAAATGGGTGTGGCTCTCCCCCTGGGGGTTGGGCAATCACCAAAAAACAACAGGGGGCATCCTTAGGGTATAAGGAATAGGTATGCAAGGTTTCAAAATGATCTGTTAAGAATTGCGGCCAGTAGGCGACACAAAAGGCACACAAACATTGGGGGTGGCTCTGTCCCAGGGGGTCGGGCATGTACCAAAAATAATAGAGGTCGGCCTTTGGGCATAAGTATGTAAAGTTTGAAGATGATAACTTAAGAATTGTGGCCTGTAGGCGACACACAGACACACAAAAAGAAAATGGGTGTGGTTCTGTCCCTGGGGGTTGGGCATACACCACAAACAATAGGGATGTTCCTTAGGATAGAAGGAATAAGTCTGCAAAGTTTCAAGGTGATACGTTTAGAAATGCGGTATGTAGATGACAAACAAATAAATACAAGAAATGGGCATGGCTCTGCCACTGGGGGTCGGGAATGCACCCAAAACAATAGGGATCATCCTTAGGGTATAAGGAATTCATATGAATTTTTTCCAAGACGATCGATTAAGAATTGTGGCCTGTAGGCGACATACAGATACACAAAAAGAAAATGGGTGTGGCTCTGCCCCTGGGGGTTGGGCATGCACCCCAAATGATAGGGATGTCCTTAGGGTACAAAGAATAAGTATGCAAAGTTTCGAGATGATACGTTAAGAATGCGGCCTGTAGACGACAAACAAATACAAGAAATGGGCTTGGCTCTGCTCCTGGGCATCGGGCATGCACCAAAAACAATAGGGATCATCCTTAGGGTATAAGGAATAAGTATGTAAAGATTCAAGATGATCACTTAACAATTGTGGCCTGTAGGCGACACACAGACACACAAAAAGGAAATGGGCGTGGCTCTGCCCCTGGGGGTTGGGCATGCACCCCAAACGATAGGGGTGTTCCTTAGGGTACATAGAACAAGTATGCAAAGTTTCAAAATGATACGTTAAGAAATGTGGTCTGTAGACGACAAACAAACAAATACAAAATATGGGCGTGGCTCTGCCCCTGGGGGGCGGGCATGCACTAAAAACAATAGGGATCATCCTTAGGGTATAAGGAATAAGTATACAAAGTTTGAAGAAAATCGAGTAAGAATTGCGCCCTGTAGGCGACCCACATACATACACACACACACAGACATGGGTGACGCACAGGCACTTGAAGGGATTCATTTTAAAAAATAAAACTTCTTACTACTGCTTGGCTATATATTATAGTATATAAGAAGGTATTTCAGCCGCCATCTTTGTTTTCACGTCTTCAAGGCATTTCGTCTGCTAACATCTCACAATACTCACTAGTTCTAACACTACCCGTCGTTTTTATTGCCAACGAGGCCTTATTTGATCATTATTCAGCTTCCAATGTAATTAAATTGGCCATTTAACAGCGTTATTAACCCTTTTAGGGGGCAATTTTTCGCAACTGATGAACCACTGTGGGGGAATTAATTTTAGTGAATAAATTTTAAGCTAGGATCAAATCTAAAATTATTATATCTTTACAACTATGTTATCAAAATTCACCAAACTTGGTGAGACATATGCTTATACACCACATTATTTGAAAATGCAAAAACTTTGTAATTGGAACAATTTTACCCAGGTAAATACAGGTGTGGCTCAGGTAAAAATTATAAACCAAGATAAAAGTATTTTGTTTTCTCAAAAATTTATTAATTTAAGAAAAAACAACATAAATAATGAATTTTGGAAACAACAAGTTAAAAGTTTAAAAAATAAAATGGAGTATCACAGGTGAAAATACAGGTAAATTGAGGTGTACTAAGAAATATACAAATTGTCACTAAATGTTTCACTAACCATTTTAAATTAAAACATTTCAAATGATAATAACTGTAACAGCAACAACAATGGGGAAAACTGCATTTACAGGTAAATACAGGTAAATTCAGGTGCAATGAATAAATAGGCAACTTGTGTATACAATTTCTTCAATTTAAATGAAACCTAACAGGATAAAAAAAAAATTTGTGAACAAATCAATATTTAGTTGAGAGGATTATTTGATCAAAATTGCATCACAGGTGGAATACAGGTAAATAGACTTACAGTTCAGGTGTATTAAAGCAATTAGCATAGACCTTTATAGCAGTTTCAAAGAAACCAGAAAAATATACAGAAATATCAACAAACAAATAATACTATTTGATCAAAATTGCATTACAAGTGAAATTCAGGTGCAACTAATGAACACATTTTCAATCACCAATTACAAAAAATATCAACAATCAATAATATCATTTGGTCAAAGTAGTGTCACATGTGGAAATACAATTAAATTGAGGTGTACTGAAAAATGTACAATTTGTCCCCAATTTTTTTACTAACCATTTTAAATTAAAATATATCAAATGGTAACAACTATATAATCGCAACAACAATGGTGAAAACTGCACTTACAGGTAAATACAGGTAAATTCAGGTGTAATAAATAAATAAGCAACTTGTGTACACCATTTCTTCAATTTCAATGAAACATAACAGGATAGAAAAAAATCAACCTTTAATAAATTCAATATTCAGTTGAGAAGACTATTTGATCAAAATTGCATCACAGGTGAAATACATATAGGCTTACAATCCAGGTGTATTAATGCAATTAGCTACATATTTTCAGCAGTTTCAAGGAAAACAGAAGAACCTGCAGAAATATCAACAATCAAATTATACTATCTAATCAAAATTGCATTACATGTAAAATACAATTGCAATTAATGAACACATTTTCAATCACCAATTACAAAACATATCAACAATCAATAATGTCATTTGATCAAATTGCAGCATTACAGCTATAATACTCATACCAGTATATTGGTAATACTAAATGTTTTCTTCATTTTCAGATAAACTATAAGCTTTACATGTAGCAAAATATTGGCACTCTTTTACAAACTGAAGCTTTCAATAATTAACATGTTTACTTTAGTTTAAATAATAACCAGGAAACTATCTGCGGCATAGACCCACTCCACACTCTCGACACCATGTGGTTATACGCGTACCTTTAAACCCTACATCCCTTGATTGTGCACAGCTCACACACTATTTACGCTTTTTATCAGGAATAGATTCTAGGTAATGCTGTATGCTAGAAAGTACTCTGAGTTGTGAGGCTGGGACGACCAATTTTTCGGCGTGGCTGTTTATAGCCATTTATAAGTCCGTCTACTAACTGGATCATGAAGTTGAGATGATTTAGTTTTTTTCCATTTATATTCTTATTGTTCTTATAGCACAAATATGCATTAGTAACTGTTCTGTCTATAAGATGAAAAACAACTTTCCGCCAGCACTTTACAGTTCTCAATTCTGCTGCGTAATGATCTGTCATTTGATCACTGAGGTCAACCCCTCCCATTCTGTGATTGTACTCGTTCACTAACTGAGGAACAAGTCTGTTGTCTTTCTTAGTTAGCTTGACATCATTAGCGGAACCATGCGCTGTTAAAAACCTAACTTGTCTGCGATCGTACCAATTGACTGCCAACAACTGACCTTTGCGTACAGCAATAACTTCATCTTTTTTTTTAAAGTTTGTTTGATTCCTGGGGGCATTATTATTACATAAGTCTATACTAGTATAGTAATTGTCTACAATTAAATGATGATACTTTCCACCGTGGTTTCTCAACAATTTATCACATACATCATACAGCTGTCCATATTGTGAAGTTTTTATACTTGATGTGTGGTATAAGGTCTGATACAAATATCCAGTCCTAGAATCAGACAGGTTATATTCCTTTGGTCCCCACTGATGATGTTTTTTAATTCTTATGTAGTTCACAAGATCGTGTCTGCCCTTAAAACCAACTATGCTTTCATCTATACTTATGTTACATGACCGAAGATATGCACGTGCCCAAGACGTATTAAAATGGTCTAAAACGGACTGAAATTTGTAAATGGGATTATAATTAAAAGTTCCTTTTTTCGGCTCCATCGAACTGTCGCTGACATGAAAACAACGAAGGAGTAGTTTAAAACTTTCATACGTGAAAGTGTTTCTAAATATTGGTGTCTCTTGGGATAAGTCTTTCACATTCCAATACTGTTCTAATGTATGCTTTCGTACCAAGCCCATATTTATGATCAACCCGATAAACGCTCTCATTTGATGTACATCAGTTGGAATCTATAAATGCAGTCTAGATCTGGGCGGTATATTTTCATATTTATCATATCTATATTGAAAGTATTTGTTTGTTTCGTCTACAAAAAACTGCCAAAGAGATTTATTATTTGTAAAATTGGTTGATTCAAAAAATTTATCAAAATACTTCACAGGTTCATGACAGTTCTCTGGATTCCACACAAGACCGGACTCGGCTGTAAAATCATGTAAGATTGGGGGCCTGTCATTTTGCCTATCATTCACATGTATCCAAATGTCGTCTAATTGGTCTTCTGTACCAAAATTATCATCTTGATGTACTAGTGTTTCAACGTCATTAGGCCTAATATTTATCGTCGACTCCGTCGAGCATCTTCTTGGTTTTTTTTACATTATTTACATCTCGTTCTTGACAATCTCGATCTGATTCACTTGAATCTGACTCGTATGCAGACAGTTCATCAATGTCAATATCGCTGCCACTGTCAGACGAACAATTTTCTTCATCAGAAATATGGATCATGTCAACAACATCGTCTACAGTAAACGTATTAGGGCGAGGACGCTTACGGGGTTTCGTGGCAGACGCCATGTTATTCACAGCCCGAGGCTGTCTGTTTATGTTATCGCTAAGTAACGGTAATATTCGGCTTCAAATCAAAACAATATAAGAGTTACCGTTCTTATAAATTAGATCATGCATTTCTTTCACCCATTAGTTGATAAAAATAGAATTATCTCATACAGCCAATCGTGTACATTGTTACTTTGGCGACTTACGGTGAAACGACATTAATGTCGCTATCCCCGTAAAGCGCGTGTGTCGGAAAACGACATTAATGTCGTTATCCCCCTAAAAGGGTTAATTACAAATCAAACTTGAAGCGCTGTCACTTGCCGATATTCGTCTTCATCAGCCCGGAAATAAGATTTGTTTGTAGCAGTCTGTATCACCCAGTCCCTTATAAACCTATCCGTTACTCGAAATTTAGTCGGTAAATGATCGAGCCTACGAAGCGAGGCCGCACCGCAGGTGCAGTCTGGATCACCCAGTTCCTAGGAAAATTTCGAGTAACGGATAGGTTTATGAGGGACTGGGTGATACAGACTGCTACAAACTAAACTTATTTCCGGGCTGATGAAGACGAATTTCGGCAAGTGACAGCGCTTCACGTTTGATTTGTAATTAATAACGCTGTTAAATGGCCAATTTAATTACATCGGAAGCTGAATAATGATCAAATAAGGTCTCGTTGGCAATAAAAACGACGGGTAGTGTTAGAACTAGTGAGTATTGTGAGATGTTAGCAGACGTAATGCCTTGAAGACGTGAAAACAAAGATGGCGGCTGAAATACCTTCTTATATACTATAATATATAGTCAAGCAGTAGTAAGAAGTTTTATTTTAATCCCTTCAAGTGCCTGTGGGGCGACGGCATAATACATCCACATTATGAATAAAGTTATATGTATTTTCCCTGTGAGTTGTAAGGCAATACATTTATTACACAGTAGACCCAGACATGTATTTACGGTTTCTTTGGCATACTGCTTTACTTACAATATATAGGATATAACACCTATTGACCAGCAATCAACAGCTTTACCATATGGTTTCTGAGCTAACACCTCAGGAGCTAAAAATACAATATTAATTCATTTTTCATAATAATACACATAACTAAAAGACTTTTCAGAGTAACATTTGGAAAACATTTCTCAAAGTTTCATATATTTATTCATATTTAAAGATGTATATTTCCTCAACAGTAGTGATCAGATATACATTACCTTGGAAAACATATCCAAACTACCTGGAAAAATATATTTGTTGCCAAAAGCGTATCTTTTGAGATACTTGAAAGAAAACTTATTCACAATTTACAATGTAGAGGTTTGACGTCATAATGTTATAATGGTCAAATGTTAAAATATAGATATGCATTTTAAAGTCATCTCACTAAAAAAAAACAACTGTAGATAGACCCTTCATGTAAATGAATGTAATTATCTAGATTTAATGCCATTTTCATAAATATGAATTTTATACCAAAAATTACTATGGCAAATAGAATCTATTCTACATGTAATTTAGATATTCCATGCAAAATTCATGAAGGCCTATATAATGGTGATTTCTATTTTTTTTTTTTTTTTGGGCTTTTGTGAACTAAAGATAGGTTGCCAGGCAACGAAACATACGCCCACAGCAGCTAAATCGTCCAAGCGGTCGACAAGGGTTGTCGCATATTTATTCCTTTGTAGGTAACTGGGGGCCTTTACATGACAGTTCCATACAGATCAGATTATAATTTTTGTTGTTTGAGGATTCACAAGGTTCTACAAACTGAAACAAGGGCCTCAACTCTGGAAGTAGTCTACAGAAATTGATGAAATTTTAAAGGCTTTTTCATTTTACTAATTTAAATAATGCATATAAATTTCCTACAGATGGGATGTTCACTTTTGTCATTCAAATGTTCATCAAGTAAAACAAGGGCCATAATTCTAGAAATTATTGACAGAAATTGCTGAAATTCAACAGACTTCTGTTTCACAAATTTAAATGATGCATATAAATTTCATACATATCGAATGATAACTTTCATCAATCGAGTATGAACTTTTAAGGTTGAACAAAGTGAAACACCGGTCATAACTCTAGAAGTAATTATTGTAAATTGCTGAAATTCAATAGGCTTCGTGGTTTCACTAATTTAAATAATGCATATAAATTTTACAAAGATCGGATGATAACTTTTGGCATTAGAGCGTTCAAAAGGTTCAATAAAATGAAACAGGGTCATAACTCTAGAAACGGAAATTGCTGAAATTCAATAGGATTCTTTGTTTCACTACTTCAAATAATGCATATAAATTTCACAAAGATCGGATGATAACTTTTGGCGTAATAGCGTCACAAGGTTCAACAAAGTGAAACAAGGGCCATAACTCTAGACGTAATGAACATAAATTATTGAAATTCAATAGGATTCTTCATCTCACTAATGTAAACCACATATATCAATTTTAAAACAATCTGATAATAACCGATTGAGAGCGTTCACAAGAAATTGTGGATGACAGATGGACAGGGGCGACGGCAATATAAAAATCATTCATTATGGATCACTTTTGATTATTTAGACTACAACAACAATCAAGTAGTTTGTCGATTAGGCCTACTTTTATCACATTCTCACACAAAACTATCAAAATCTACATCACCAATAAAATCTGAATCACTGTCATTCAATAAGGTTGGTAATCAGTCTTTGGAGAACATTTTTGTAAAGGCCTAGACATTTTTTTATAATATTTCAAGAAGAAACAGTACTATTTTTAACTGTCAAAATATAAAACAGGAAGTAAACAAATGAGTAAAAGGATTAGGAACATTGCATTAGGGGGCTAACCATTTTTTTTTTTTTGACAAAAGTCGCTGTGGCTGTGGGTACTTAAGTTAAGTAACTTAACCATAATGTTATAGGTGTCGACAAAAGTCAACATTGGTCAGTTAAAAGTTAAACCTGCAAGACAATGAATAGACAAAGTGCTGGAGTAACCTATTCATTTGTGTAATGCATGTGCTGATCGAGTGATTAACATTTTGTAATAGCTATTTAATCCATTGTGCGATTACTATGTAAATTCATGTCTAATATTTCTTGTTTTCATCTTTATTACAAATATACTTTCAATTAGAAATAAGAGGCTTGAACAACTGACCTAATTTGCCTGAGGGAACCTATCTTGTAAATTTCTAAAATAATGAGCACAGTTACACTGAGAAATAGGTAAAGGTTAAAACGTACGTTTGCCGCATTAAAAACTCGCAAAACGGTCAATACCTATGTATCTCGATAAAAAAATAAAATTCGGATTATAACTCCTCATTATGGCTTAAAATCTCTAGATAAGGTGTGTTAATTAACCAGGGTGAAAAATGGACTGAAAGGCGAGTTAATTATCGCTAGGTGTGAACAACTCTGGGACGGTGCGTTTTCTGTACTGAGTATGTTAATTAACCGACGGGTTAAAAACGAATGACACGGTGTATATGGTTTAATTGGTGTGTTTTCTCGATAGTTGTTATAACTGCACCAAAAGGGTATAATCAAAGACCAACCGACTTTATCTGATGCGTGAGTGTTAAATGGAAACTTGGGAAGGAAAATTGTTTTTACCGTGCGATTTTTCATTCGCCGGTGTGTTTTTCGCAAATAGGACTTTGTATAAAGACAGGTCTTTATATGTGGAAGTTGTACAGGGCTGTTTCTTCTATGTGTCTTTTGTATTTGTTGATGAACATAAGACGCAGTACGTGTTTTATAGTCACGCCACTTATAAAGTTGCATAATAAAATATAAATATGGACCCTAATCTGTCGTAAAAAGGTAAAAACAATGTCGTCATTTATAAGTATCCAGCAGTCAGGCCCCAATTTGAATATATCCGGGTATATAGCGGTAAGCTAAATTTACCATATGTCTATATATATTCTTTTGTTCTGACAATTTATTGTTTTGCGGGTTGAAATTAGTACCACGTAAACGGTAACTCATTGCCGGTTTATTGTTTTGCGTGTTGAAATGAGTACCGCGCAACCCGTAGCTCATAGCCAGTTTATTGTTTTGCGTGTTGAAATTAGTACAATGTACGTAACCCGTACTTGTTTCGTTGCAACTTTTAATAGATAACCATTTTGCAATTATATTTATATTATAAACAAAAAAATGTTAGCTGTTCAATAATAATTGTTATATAGCCAGCGTATTTAACAATCATCACATAGATGGTTTCCTATACCGTGAGGGTTTGAACAGTGTTTCATTAATAATTAATTAGACCTAGCAAAACTTATTTAACAATCGTCACATATAGATGGTTTCCATAGAGGTCAGATTAAAGTACATAGTTGAGTATTGGTGGGAGGATATGAAATTTCATATATTATATAAATCCCATGTAATTTCGTCAAATCACTTCATTGTGGAAGCGGGCGCTACATTAAGTTATTTGAGACACACACTTCTATAATTTAACTAATTTTCTTTACGATGTCGGTTCGATATCAGTGTTGGTGTACGCGTTGTGATGGAAGTGAAGAATATAATCGTCGAACTGTCGAGGAACACATCATAGCCGAAAGAGACAGAGGGATTATTAAAAGATGTATTGCATAATGGTGTTAAATTTGCCATCCGGTTTAACAGTTCGCCGGATAATGAAATGTCCTTAGAAATAGTCAGGACCCACATAATGCGCACAATAATAAATTTTCTGAAATAATAATAATTCAAACAAGTCAAATGATTAATTGATTCCAAGTATATATCATGGCATGTCAGTACAGACTACTGCAATAAGAGTTATTTTCTTTATTACAAATAATCACAAATAACCAAATCAAAATAAGACAATAATCGTCATAAATTTATTCACATTTTTGATATTTTCAATAATACCATTATTGATCATGAAAGCTAATTAATAGCTGAGAGACTAATCTTGTCGGCTCATAATCTTAATTGGTTAATTAACACGTCAGTGTTATAAACTCTACCAAATGTTGACTCATCTGATTGTGTATTGGTCTGTTTATAAAGTTTAACACTGATATGTTTATTACCCGAGATTATGAGTCGATTATAAGATTAGCCAACATATGATTTTACCATAATATATTAACATGGAGTTTTAAAGTTATAAAAGAGAAACCAACATATTTTTGAAAATCAATATTAATTTCATTTTCAGAGAACGTCTATTGGAAAATTGCTAGCTGATCCAACAGATTCCCCACATTGCAAAACAGATCAACATGTCAAATCGATTTAGTTACTGGTATATGGTTTTAAAATATCATGTCTTAAATAGCACCTTCGTCCCTTTAAATATATATTTTTTTATACTTTAACTTATAAATGCAACACACAAACTGCTTACCGTATTTATACAATAGACGATAAATATCCCAAAGAATAACCCGGTTCAGTTTCTTTCCAATAATTATCACAAAAACTGATGCGACAATTACATCAAAGAGTCCACATCAAAAGAGTACAAAGGAAATTGCCTAACAAAAAAGCCTGTATTAGTTAAAGGGGCATTGTGCGATATAAGGGATGATTTTTGTGCCAAATTACAAAAATTATCACCACCGGTTAAGGAATGATTTTATTGACAGGAGTATGTCAACTGCGAATATGATGATTAAGTATTCTTTTCACACGCTGCATGCGCCAACCTTCAAGTCTATACCGATTCAAAAATTTAATTATCTCTCATATCCACAATTTTTAAAGCCTGAGTTTTATCGTAAATAAAATTAATAGAATCCGTTGTAACCTACTGGTAATACATGATGTAAATTGCAGGAGATGGGGTGTGCTATTCATCGTAGCCCGTTCGTAATTTAGCCATGACAACGGCACATATTCTGTGTGAAAATCCAGATTGGTCGCGTCCCAATGATTTCTTACTACAAGGACGTAACTAGCTCAGAGAAACGATGGGGTGGGGAGTGTTCTCAAGGGGTGCTGTAAAATTGACGGACAATGTATATCTATTGTTTTTATGGACGACAATTTTTTCAAATTACTGACAATACAGAATATAAGTATTGTCTACAAGCAGGGCTGCCGACAACCAGTATCGTCCGTTGCTAACCAAAAATTAAAATCTGACGTTTTTGATTCGCAGTTACTGCGAATCATTAATGTGCCAGTCATTTTGGATATTGTCACAAGAATAATCCACATTTTGAAGACTAGAAGGCTTACTCAACACTTTCAACGTGTATAAAATGTTGAATAAAATTTTATAAACAAAACTGAATTCTCTGTGTGACATTTTCTTCTCGAACTACCCAGACACAATACTATATAACACAGGGACATAACTCTATGAATAGGGACTATTAAACCGGAAATAGGGAATCAAGTAGTCGCACTCACGTTGCGAGACATCAAGTAATTATATCATATTCATTTTGAAATAAATAACTCCAGTGTATCCCCCACGTATTGTAAATAAAATATAAAAAAATAAATACATGTTAACGTATTGTAAAATGATAAATCAAAGTAAAAATTCCCGTAAAATATTATTGTTTATATCGCGTGTGTCTAGTTAATCGAGGTACGCCCGATTGAACAAAAATAGTAATACACGATAAAAAGCAGACGAGATTGTTTTCTAACGAAGATTTCTAACGTAACAAAAAAATAACAATTAAAATGAGTGGGGCTTCGGAAGTCACTGTCAAGAATTGGCGTCAGACATAAGACCTAACAAATGTCTACATCACATTTACAAACTGTCACAAGTACTTGTGGCAGTGCTAAAAAAATCTAAGAATAGTCAGAATGGAATCTAATCATATTTGTTATGAATTAAAGTAATATCTTGGTATTTAGGTGTTTTACATTGAAACTGAAAAACTGCTAATCAATTTTTAAATTTGCTAATCAAATTTGGCAAAATTGGACTTCTTGATTAGCAGTGCTGCTAATCAACTGTGAAAAATTACCGACAGCCCTGTCTACAAGACTACGGCATGGTAGCAATTTGTTGTTAAAGGGGCTTCTAATTTAGTCAATTATCAATTCCTATTGATAGCACGTGTGAATTCACGTAATTTGGAAACTTGACTGACAGTATGCATTGACTCAGACTTTTTGGTGGCGAAATGAAAAGGTCATCAAGGTATTATCCGACTGATAACGTGTTAATGTGCATGTGTTCAGCAAGGTTGACAGTGACTTCTGACGATGTGTGCTTAAAAACAGGAGATGAAGGCATTTAATTCATTTGTGATTTAAACCCGAAGATATATTACTTCAGATGTGATTTATCAATTTAAAATGCATTGTGTAACTTATTTGTCAGAATGGAAATGGCTATTTCAATGGACAAAACTTTCGCCCACGGTAAGACCAGCATCTATGTGTGTAAATTTTGAAATTTCGTAATTTTAATGAGTTTGAAATAGTCGATCGATGCAATTATTAAAATGTCGCACATATTGATGAAGTAATGTATCGGTACAACCATAATTCTGTTTATTTTATTATATAAATGCCTGCCAATGTTTGATATTTGTTATATTTTCAATATAAGCCAGTAAAATCTGCGTGTCTAACCGTGTTAAATTAACAATCTTTTTTAGCATGCCGTATTAGCAGATATTCGACTACGATATCACTGCCGTGGAATCGCACGATAAATACATAAACCTATTTCAAACCAGCTATGGATGTGCTGACTGTACATGCGTGAAATTCAGACTTTTTAAAATTCGCCGTGGATGGCGGTTTAAAATAATCACGGAGGTCAGCAGTTTACTCAAATTCGTGAAGGAAATTTAGAGCGGAATTTTGAGCTTGGCCAGAGCAGATTGATTAACTGACGTCGTCGATTTTTACATTTATATTTTACTATGCAACTTTATAAGTGGCGTGACTATAAAACACGTACTGCGTCTTAAATGTTCATCAACAAATACAAAAGACACATAGAAGAAACAGCCCCGTACAACTTCCACATATAAAGACCTGTCCTTATACAAAGTCCTATTTGCGAAAAACACACCGGCGAATGAAAAATCGCACGGTAAAAACAATTTTCCTTCCCAAGTTTCCATTTAACACTCACGCGTCAGATAAAGTCGGTTGGTCCTTGATTATACTCTTTTGGTGCAGTTATAACAACTATCGAGAAAACACACCAATTAAACAATACACACCGTGTCATTCGTTTTTAACCCGTCGGTTAATTAACATACTCAGTACAGAAAACGCACCGTCCCAGAGTTGTTCACACCTAGCGATAATTAACTCGCCTTTCAGTCCATTTTTCACCCTGGTTAATTAACACACCTTATCTAGAGATTTTAAGCCATAATGAGGAGTTATAATCCGAATTTTATTTTTTTATCGAGATACGTAGGTATTGACCGTTTTGCGAGTTTTTAATGCGGCAAACGTACGTTTTAACCGTTACCTATTTCTCAGTGTTAGAGCATCCATTATTACTGGTAATTATGGCCTTCACCTGCTGGTAAATATAGTATTTAAAACTGATGCGTTTATTTCTGGTAGTACCGGCAATTACCATTTTACCAAAGTGTGACAACAAAGTCCGTATATTTACCAACATATCCTGGTGTACCACATGCTGTTGCCATGATACCAGAATCTTCCATCTTGGACAAACCAAAATCGCTTATCATTATTTTTGAATCAGGATCAGCACTGTAGTATAATAAATTTTCTGGCTGTAAATATAAATTAGTTGGTTGTCATGACATAAACTATATTAATTATTATTATGTTATTTTTTCTTACATGCAGATAGTTTATAATTAACAATTACAAGCTGTTGCCATGCAAGATACCCACATATTTTGCAAAATATGGATAGAAAACAAGCTAAAAAAAAGAAAACAGAAATTTTTTTCGTATAATCAGGGGCCATGCCATAGTCCAGTAAATAATGGTCTCAAATGTGGGAATAACGAAAGGAACTGAGATCTTTAGGATATAAACATATGTTTTAAATTTCATCAAAATAAAACAAAAATTGTGACCTCTAGAGGGCCAACAACCTTCGTATTACATACTTTTACACTATCTGCGTACAAGGAGTGACCATTTTGTGAAAGGACATAATCATATATTTAAAGTTTCATCAAAATTTGATAACAATTGTGACTTTTAGCGGGTCCACAACCTTCGTATGACACACTTTTACACTATTTGCGTATAAGGAGCCACCCTATTGTCAGGTAGTTTTGGTCCAATTTTTATGAAATTCAAACTCAACCTTCATTGATGTGTAATAGTGGTATATTATAAATTATAATGGTTTTTTAAATTGAATACAAATTGTGATTTCTAGCGGGTCCACAAGTTAACCAGCTGCTGCCAGACAGGATACACCCCACATTTTGCAAGAGATGGATAGAGAACAAGCTAAAAACAAAGATTGGTTGCCAGGCAGCAAAACATACGCCCATAGCAGCTAAATCGTCCAAGCGGTCAACAAGGATTGTCGCATATTTATACTTTGTAGGTAATACAACAAATATATTATGGAGATTTCACTGATTCATGTGTAGTGGTTTAATAAGGACGGCCATTGCTACAACACCACCCGATTTCACATAGGTTTCCATTCCAAAGCTAATTTAGTGGTACATGTAGAACTACGCGTAATGTGGAAGTTATCTAATTGTAGTGATTAATCATTACATTTAATTATGATGTGATGATATATAGATTCTGTCCTCCGGTTTCCTGCCACTGCTACGCGCAAGCAAATTATTGAAATAAAATTAAACCATATGTTAGTCCTGAAATGACCTAGTTTGTGTCGAGTGGACGTTAAACTCTATTTCTCTCTCTATATAGATTCTAAATATCTCTTTTGAACTATCAGTATCACTGTAACGTTGATATCGTTGACTAAGCAATAAATAACTGTTCTAAATGAAAATATACGACACTAATAGATCAAAGTCATCAGTTTATATGATACATAATGTGTATTAGTTAGTTAAAATTGTTAGTAATCAGACAGTAGTCATTAAGTAGGTGTTTTGTCACTAAGTTGTTAAAACTGGGATTATTGAATGATATACACCACTATTAGTTAGGTTTGTGTATTCAATAGTGATGGTATTATAAATAGCCATATTTTTTACAGCTAGTTACAGACTTGCTAATTAATGACAACTGTATAATTTCTAACCACTTTCTATACATACTAAACATTAGTTTTGAAATACCAAAAATTCATGCCTGAGTCGGGCTATCCAGAAATGTAATAATTTCTGTAATACGAGACGGATTCTCTAAACCACAACCTATTGTGTATGTTCTTCAAGCCCATTCATGTGTATTTTTCACTATTTTTCATTTCCAATTCAAAATGGCGTCCATCTTTTGCCAGAAATCAAAATTCTAAGCTCTACATTTTATGGGCATTCCTTCAAGGATTCAGAAAATATAATTCCCTTATCTGTAAGTAAAATATCAAAAAAGCCTTAAGGATATTTCACATTTCAAGATGGTGGCACTTCCGGGTTGAGCTACAAGCACCATTTTTTGTGTACGAATCAGTAGTGTTGTAGCTAGTACAGAAAAAAAATCTGACCTATATTTAGTCGATTATCTTGAAAACTTTAATCCTTAATTTAAGTTAGGGCATTTCTAATGGTATCGTTGAAGTTTGGTCCATGAGATCTACATACATTCCAAATTTTATGAAATCGTACCAATATTAAAGAAGTTGTCAAGTTGTCGAAATTAGCAGATTGGAAGTAAATATTTCAAGGTACTCAAAGAAAAAAAAATTAGTAACATAGGTCACATAGTCACAGTGTTATGGTTATGTAGGTCAATTTCTTCATTCGTAAAATTCGGTGAATTCGGATTCATAAAACGTTTTGTAAATATATTTGATCAATGTTTGCACCCCATTTTTGGGGAAGTAGGTCAAAGTTTCAGAAAGATCCTATGGTTAGATTCTGAGAAATCCGATTTGCAGAAAATACACACAAAAAAATAATAATAATAATAATAACTAGACCTGCATGGCATGATGGCAGTACTGAATCGGCTTTTAGGCAACAGATCCGAAGAAAGCATACGAAAGTCCATTCACTGGGATATCGAACAATACTTTAGCTCTTTTGATCTGGTAATATCGAACGGAGAAATCGCGTTTTTGGCATAAATCCTCATTTTTATGCATTTTTTCAAAATATCGGATATCTGGTCGACTACTTCCGGTTTACGTATCAATTTCGGGATAGTTTTAAAACGTGGCGTTGGCATTTAACTTCCTGTACCAGAAGATTCAGAAACATGCATTGAGCAATTTTGAACAAAAAGAAAAATAAAAGAGCATTTTCAGTAATTTAAAGATTTTTCATTTTTTTTCAAAGTTTGAGGCTCTTTTTGGACCATTTATATCAATTCAAGTCTTTTACATTTGGATGCACACCCAAGACCACAACTCGCTAACCTCTAGGTCCAATAGTCAATCCCCATATAAGTCGAGAAATTATCAGATTTTCCATCTTGGTTCTTCCCTTGTGAAAAGTGTAAGGATGATGGATGACCTAACAAAGGACAACATATAGTCAGAGGGGATGTGAAACCTAGGTCCTATGTACGCATTTACTTGCACGTAACACAACCCAAAACAATTGGAATACTAAATAAGTTCCCTATAGTGCTGCTGTCCGGGCAAAAATCCTTCATACCCCAATTTTCTAAACTGATTATCTATTTCTGGTAATGTGCACCACTTTGATGCCATTTTCTACCTAAGCAGCTATGGGACTAGGGCCTGTCCAACCTCCTGGGTTTCTGTCACTAAGTCAAAGTGCTGTGGATTCCATGACCAGGGAATAGGGTCATCTGGTTTCCTCCCACTGCTGAAGACCCCAACGCACAAGCATATTATTGAAATGAAGTTTAACCATAAGTTATGCCCAAAATGACCTGTTTTGTGTCAATGGATGTTCAACCACATTTCTTCCACAGCCAAGTCGGTATAAGAAATAGAGTTTCACGATTAGCTATTACACACGTGAAATAACAAGGGTCTGTAATTGCATCAAGTCGCGTAGTCTCCGACACCCACAACTCCCTAATCTTGGTTTTAGACTGTTGTAAATATTTCACGAAAAGTTTCCTTGCCCATGCCTAACCAGGAGTTTTTTTGTTTTAGATAGTTGATTATCCAATATATTTGGATGCAGAACACTATTAATTTCTCCAATGTTAAATTGAATCACTGGTGTTCTACATGCAGTAGCCCATTCCCTAAATTTCGTTGAGAACTTCCCTTAAATACAGCACAGCTAGTATGACGTTATGGGATCATCAGAGTACTGAATTTGTATTAGGGTTGACCACCAAAATTTCAATTCACTGATATTCATAGCAGACTGGGGACAGAATATCATGACCGTGTTAGTGCAAAAACAAAACAACGCTTCTTGACTTGTATTCTTACGCCATAAAAGTCACAAACCAGGCAGAAAGTAGAAATTCAATACCTCTTCGTCAATTCTAGACCCAAATGTCAATACAGATAGGCAATCAAAATGGCAAAAAAGAAAGGAGACGGACACCAAATCAGGCAGAACATAGATATTCAATACCTCTTCATCAATTCTACACGAAAATGTCAATACAGATAGGCAAACAATATGCCATAAAAGGAGGGAGAAAAATATATCTAAAAATAACCGGCACTACCGAGATATGCAAAATTAATAGTGTTTTACATCCATCTAGCCACATCAACAAGTCAAGATAACCTCGATCCTAACACTTTGAAGAATTATCGACCAGTCTCGAACCTTCCTTTCATCTCCAAAATAATTGAGAAAGCCGTAAATAAGAGACTTACTAATCACTTAACCACTTGTGGACTATTAGAAAAATTTCAGTCCGCCTATAGGCAAAACCATTCTACAGAGACCGCCTTAATAAGGGTAGCAAATGATCTTCGGGTATCGGTAGATAATGGAAGATGTGCCGCCTCGGTTTTGCTAGACCTATCAGCAGCGTTTGATACTATAAATCACGATATACTGGTGGACTGTCTCTCCAGTCAGTTTGGTATCAGAGACGCTGCACTGAGTTGGCTAAAATCGATCGCAGAAAGTGTTAATAGGCAAAACAGTATCACCACCAGTACTGTTAAAACAGGGTGTGCCACAAGGCTCTGTTTTGGGCCCAGTGTTGTTTGTGCTCTATACTGCATCCGTATCTAACATCATTGACCGTTATTCACTGGATCATCATGCATATGCAGATGACACTCAGATAATTGGAAGTTCGGGCCATCAGCATCTTTACAATGAAGTCATGGATGACCGCTAATATGCTGAAACTTAATGACGACAAAACTGAGGCAATTTTAATAGGCACTAAACATCAGAGGTTAAACATACATGAAAAATCCATTACGATCGGAGACTTAGATATAGCTTTCTCTTATTCAGCCAAAAACCTTGGAGTATTCCTGGATAGCGATCTGTCGATGGGAAAACAAGTTAACCATCTATGCAAAATTTGCTATTTCCACCTTCTTGCTATACGTCAAGTTCGACATCTGATAAGTCATGAAGCTGCTCATACGTTAGTTCGTGCCTTGGTTCTTTCCAGGCTGGATTATTGCAATTGTTTGCTGTGGGGTATTCCACAACATCTATTAAACAAGCTACAATGTGTCCAAAACACAGCGGCCAGAATT